CAGCTCAATATTATTAATCCCTTTCCTTTACTTTACACTCTATCAAATTTTCAAAACAATCCACTCCCTCCAATTTGTAATTACATCAAAAAAATAAACAAAACAATCCGGCTAGTTGATATTATACATTCAAATAGAGCAAAACCCATTTTCAAACCAGATTTTTCACTTTTTCTACAAACTCTAACATTCCTCAAAAAATTACCACTTCCAACTATACAAACACAATCCAAACTCTATAACTTTCGTCTAAAAATTCTCTCTAATACACTCCCAACCAAAACCCATTTACATTCCATTCTTCCACACTTATATACTAATGATCTTTGCCTACGCTATAATATGTCTCCTGAAACGACACACCACGTTTGGCTTTGCAAGGAAAGTCATCCAGCAATAACTCAAATTCTTAATAATACTATAGCCCAGGCCATACTTACCTTCAGGAAAAATAAAAACTTTGATCCAAAAATCTTTCAACAACTTGTCAATTCTCCTCTCTCCTGCATAAACCTAGCTCTCGGACTTTCAAACATCAATTCCTGTTTCAAAAATCTCAAACCATCTAGTGAAACTATTCACATGAATCTCGTCACATGCCTTAACATCAACAAAATTTGGCGCAGTATCGTGCCGGCAATAAAAAAATTGAATTGCCTTTATTGCAATGCATTATGTAATAAATTTCAGGTGGAATGGAATGTTGCAAAAATTAATAGTAATGGTAAGTGTGAATCGGAAATATTTTTTTTACCTCAGTTGCTAATCTCCCGAATTTATCCCGTAGATTCGAAATTACTTAATCTCGGAGAAGTTTTCTTAATCTTTTATATAGTCTGCGTGTTTGGGAGAGATATATATAGACAAAAATCCTGTAGACATGGGTGTGATAATTTATTTTAAAAATCTAGTGTAGAAAAGAGTATAGGGATGAGAATCTCGTAGTTAGAAATATTAGAAATAGAAAAATTAGCTATAGATATTTTAGAGAGCAAAGAAATAACTTGATGCTGGGACTCGCATTAAATGGCCTAGGATCCGCGTATTCCCTCCCTCTTTGGTAGCATCATATATTTCATTCGCTTCTCTAGCATTCTGATTTATGTATCTGAAAAATCAATAAAATTTTTCGTCCACTTTGGGCAATTGCATCGAAAATTTTTTCTGAAAATGCTTAACTATAGAATTTCTAGATCGAGTTATGGCACGTTCTCATAATTTTTCCTTTTTTTTTTATAAGCAGTATTGTAAAGAATGCGTAAAATACTGTAATTGATAAAGTTGCCGATTTACTTTATTGCGTTAAACGAATATTATTATGACCAAAGATACATAATTTGGGTAAATGAGATTGTTTACGCCAATCTAATCATATCTTGCTGATACATAATTTCGTAATATTCTAATTCATCTCCCACTTTTTCTTCCACCTTTAAAAAAACACCGTCTTTGTCCATCTTCGCACTAATGACCTTAACAACCTTAACACAGACTCCATCATCAAGTTTGACTTCACAGTCCACAAAGTGTGAAGCTTTGCTCAGTAAAGAACGAATTTTCTGAATTTTAAAGAAAGAGTCAACAAAAATATCAAACGCGTGATAAGTAAATTAAAATAAATACCTTTTTGGATAGCTTTTTACTCTTATTTCTTTTCTTTGGAGGGTCATCCACGTCGTCAAAGTAAACTAGAGATTTCGCATCTTTATTTACAAATTCTTGCGGACTATGAAAGGAGGTGGTATTAGTTTCTATTATTTCGTTTTGTAATTAACGGCAACAAGACGCCAGCCTACGCTTTGTCAAGCCATTCCTGGAATTGAGCGCGAAATCCTTTTTCTTTTGTTGTTCTTTCAATCCATTCCGAAGACAAATCGATCCTTTCTTCTTCTTCCTCAAATGCTCTGTAGAAAGAGACACATCAGAAAAGTGATCAAAGAAACAAAGTTGATAAACCTCTTACTTGATTGGATCAAACCCCCTGGCTTTACATTTTTCAGGGTCCAAATATGTATCGCCATATATGGTAGTAGTTAAGCATGCTTCATATTCTTTATATGCTTCCAGAGATTCTCTGTTGATGTCGGCAATATCTCGAGACATTTTAAAGAAAATTTGTAATGAGTATTTTTTACGTGTGGTTTTTATTTACTTACGTTGCACAGAAATTTTCATGTCACAAAAATTTTAGCCAATAAAATTTGATCAGGTGAGTTCTTTTGTCGCAAAAAAAAAATTTAAATCTCAAATTTTTTGATATCAATAAATCAATCAATTTAAACTTTCGTGACCAAAACTTCTATTGACCAGCTCTGAGCTGGCCTTAGAAGATTCATTGACCGAAAAAAAGGATGAGTTGGCGCAGATAAAAGATGATTTAGTCAGCGCAAAAGGCCTTAATAGAAAAAGACTCCCTCCTTCAAGAAGTTAATGTTCGTTTAGCCGAGCAGATCCCAAAAACATCTAGTGAGCCTGAGCAGATCCTAAAGGAATCGCATAATGGTGTGATTGGAGGTGTTAGCGGACTGGAGAAAGGTAATGAAATCACTAGTCCCGAAATAACCTCAGTATCACCAAATTCCTTCTTTTTTCAGATTACGATCTTTCTTATAATATTATTACTAATCATATACTTCCTATGGTCCATCTTCTCTCATCTATATTCTTTTATTTCACCTTACAATGAAGAAAAAAATCTTCCGAATTATAAAATACACTTAAATAGAAATCATAGTTATGGATTCCCAATCCGATACGCAGAAGAAGCAAAAGACAGGACTACCTCCTATGAAACTTCGTCTTTTGGATATGGATGAAGTCACAAAGCATGAATCATCCCGAAATGTAGGTCATCCAGCAATGACATGGACATTCGCTATGGTTGTTACTGTGAAAAGTGTACAGGTAAAACTAATTTACTTGCGAACCTTGTTCTTGGTGATAAGATGAATATGTGCAAAAGGGGAAGAAAGGCGGGTCTAGATATATCCGCTGTGATGACCTGATTATATGCGGTTATCATCCAGACGAATCAAAATGGGTATTTGTTAGATATATATATAATATGATTTCGAAAGACCCAAGAGCACCTTACAATGAGGATATTAGTTTCAGCTATATACCGCCCGAAAAAATTCGTAGTACAAGAGCATTCTCACCTAAGAGAAGTACATTAATTATTTTTGAGGATGTATGCTTAGCTCCAGAGCATATACAAAATCGAATTGGCCAATTTTTTGGGAATGGGCGTCATCGAAATATTTCATATGTATATGTAACGCAAAAATATCATAAACTCGATACATTCACCCGTGAAAACACAACACATCTAGTAGTATTTAACTCCGGTAGCTCACATGAAGATATTTCTAAGATCATTAGGCGCTATACTGATGATGTAAAAAATGCATCTATGGTTATTAATAGTTACCTTCGAAAAGGTGAGTTTGTCGTATTTGATCTCACTAGGCCGGAAGATGATCCCCTTGCAATCCGCCTAAGGTTTGATACTCCATTAAACCTGCAGAAGGAAATAGAGGCAAGGCAAAAGCGTAAAGAAAAAAGTGCCTAATCTAATAGTTAGAATTCGACTGCCAGCTTTTTTTCGTAATTATAAAAAATTGGAATGGGAGAGCGCCAAGCCGAAAGACCGGTTATTTATATTAATCCTCAAAAAGCGCGAGTCTTAGATCAGGATCTTGCTTTACAGAAACTTTATTACAGACCTGAGGGTTATTATCAGACTGCTGAAAAAATGCAAACCGCTTGTAAGAGAGCCAGATATGGATTTACTTTAACCATAATAAAAAATTGGCTTAACAAACAGGCTTTGTATCAGATTCACAAGCCTTGGCCTAAGTATATTCCACAAGCATCTTTTAATAATATTACTGTACCTATCACACTGTTCTCATTCTGTCAGCAATCCCTTCCAAGATTCCTTACTCTGTATTAGCATGCTGTGTTCTATTTCTGACTGTGAATATTATAGGGAAGAGAGAAAGGGGAACTGGGGGTAAACCTATTGTGGCAAATAGAACTCTGTAGAGGCAGCCTTCTTGACAGGAAGAGATACCAGGTACCACAGGGAAATGATCACCAAGCCATCTTACTCGAAAGCGGACATCTCATTACTTTTTTTATCTTCTTTTCTTCTGACAGTCATTGTGACACCAACCAGATGATCGTCACACCATGTCACCTTAATGGGAAATCACAATCTCAACACCTTACCAAATCGGCATGTGAATGGCTTCTTATGAAAAACAGCACATGATTGGTTATGGTGCCAGATATCATATTAATTCTATTCGACCACCTTCACCTGGGGTTGAACCAATATCTTGTGATTTGACCTGTAAAGCACTAACCACTGTGCTATAGATCCACAGGTCAATTTTTTTTTTGTATAAATAAATATTTCTGCTATTGATTTATATTACTAACTTGTTTTTACTATTTGTTTTTTATAATAATTAGTAGTTTTTAGTTTGTCCATTTATCTGTCTATCTGTTTATTATTATTATAATATAATTTATAATATTTGTAATATATCTTTATTATAAAAGTATATACATTATTGCTATTATATTTGTTTTCATTATTTCTTCATATTTATTTTTTTTTTTTAATTTTAATTATTTCTTCATTTGATCTTATTTGTTGTAGTTTCCATGGTTTTGTCGAATTCAGTATTTTCTTGCAATTTATAGTATTTGTTATTTTCTTCAGTAATATTACTTGAAGGTTTGTTATAATAAATATGGCTAATATGACTTGATTATTAGTATAATTCTATTTAATTCTATTAGTTTTTCTATAGATCTTCTGTGTTATTGTAATATTCATAATTTTGTGATCTTTATTATTGGATTTTTGTATTTTAATATTATTTTTAAATCTATAACTTGATAAGTTTGTAATCTTGTCTATTGTTTACTTGTTATTGTTATTTTTGTTCTCTTGTTCTTTTTCTCTAGTTTGTTTCTTTGCTTTTTCCTTTCACAAATTTATTATCTATTTTATTTTTATTATAGTATTAAATTCCATTATTATTAGAGCTTTTAATAGTATCACTTCAATACCTATTTAATATCTGTTTAATATTTAAATTTACTATAAATTAATATAAGTAGATTACAATCCATATCTTAAATTTACTATAGATCAATACTATTTCGATACTATTTTGATACTGGTTTGATATTTTTGAAGCCTTAATTATTATTGTATATAATTTTAATATAACTTGTTGATTTAGTAGCTTCTAGGTGAATTTCTTTTAATTAATATTTTTTCTTATAAATAGAAGATAATAATATTTTTTTTAGCTTTTTCCTTTGAAATATAATAATATTATTTGAATATTGTTTTATTTTAAATTATCAATTCTATAGTTTTTTTTTGATAATTGCATAACATTTTTGCATTACTTTAAATTTGTTAAAGTTATTATAGTAAATATTTTAATTTTTTTGTTTATTAGATTTTTTTATAGTTTTCTAACTTCTTTAATTATTTTTAGTTAGGTATTTTATACTATAACTTTGTTTTTTCCAGAAATTTCTTTAGTCAAAGTTCTTATATAGATCATTTCTTTTATATTATATCTTTACCAATATGGGTTTAATAAAAAAAATAATAGCAGAAGATAATATAGATTAAGGTAAAACAATCTTTTCTTTACTGTAACATATCTTTTAATTACTTTGTATAATCTATTATTTAATATATAGGTTTTAATTTGGCAAATAATTAACTAATTTTAATTAATTTCGATTTATTTACATACTATTGTAGAATACTTTTTGTTATATATTAACATAATAATATTTTTTATGATATTTTTAATGCTATTTGTTGGTTTTGTATATATTTTAAAAGTAAAAATCAGTGTTCTATATCAATATATCAGATAATTAGACTGATTTTTAAAATAAATATAATTTTTTTTCATTAAATGAATTTATTATAAAAATATTATTAAGAAATAATTTATTAAGAATTATTTAATTATAAAATTTATTAATTAATCTTTAAATAATATAAATTAAATATTTTAAAAGATTTTTAACAAACAATCAATTAGTATTATAACTTTATCCAATATATCAGCATCACTCGAAACACTAACTGAAATATTGTATAGATTAGAAAAAAAATTTTTAATTGATTTTTTTAGACAAAAGAAAATTAATAAAAAGAAAATTCAACTATAAAAAATTTGATAAAGTATTAAATTCTTGAGCTTGATAAATTAAAATAAATTCAATAATTATAATATTATTTTAAAAATATATGTTTTATCAATTTTTTTTTTATCAAATTTTGAATTTCTTTTTTTTTTAATTTATTTTTTATTTAAATTAATATTTATATAAGATTATATATTTTTAAAAATAAATAATAAAAAATCAAATAAAAATTTATATTAAAAATGAAAATAACAATTTGAATTATTTTTATTTTAAAATATTGAAATTTTAATAACTTTTTTAAATATATTATGTTTAAGGAATTTAATAGATAATAATTTTTTTATTTAAATCTAATAGATATATATTATTTAATAATCTTTTTGTTGAATTTTTGATTACTTTGGAGTTAACGATTTCTGCTGTTAAAAAAAAAATTTTTTTAAATAAATATATAAGAAAATATATTTAATTTGTTAAATTGATTATTTTATTTACTATTGTATAAAAAAATAAACTGTTGATTATAAATAATATTTATTAATATAATATATTTATTTATTTATAAATTGATAAAATAACAATTAGAAATAATAATTATTAATATTTTAAATTTAATATATTTAATAAAAATAATAAAATTTTTTAATTATAAGATAATTAATATTATTTGTAAATATTTTGTAAATATTTGTTAATATAATTTAATGAATTTGGTAAAATTGTTTTCATTTATTGTATAAGTTAATTTATTAAAATTATTATGATATATGAATATTTGTTTTAATGACATAATTTATTTTGACAAAATTGTTTTCATTTATTATATAAGTTGTTTTATTAAAATTAATAATATAATAAAATAAATATCATTTATTTGAATTTTGAATTTTAATTATTTATTTAAGAATGTTGATTATTTTATCAATATAAAAATCTTTATTTATTTAAATTTTTTTGTAATTATCATAATGATTAATAAATATTATTTGTAATAATTCATTATATTTTTGATTAATTATTTTTTTTTAAAAAAATATATAATTATGTTTAATATTGTTTTTATAAATTCTTCACTAATTTTATAAATTTTTATTAATATAAAATATTGAAATAATTAATTTATTTTCATTATGAATATCAATAAAATATAATCAAAAAACATATAATATATAATATATAATCAAAAAACATGAAATATATAATATATAATCAAAAATATGAAATATATAATATACAGTATAATCAAAAAACATGAAATATATAATATATTGTATATTTAATATAAAATATATCAATAATACGCAACATTAATTTTATACAAAACTAAAACAATTAATTTTTATAGTAAACTTCAAGTTGCACGTATAGATAATTTAATTGTTTCGCGATCATTAAAGATACAATATATTATCTTGTTCTCCGTTTTTTTTTTACAATTTTTAGAAATGTTAATAAAAAATTTCGATTATATTGAATTAGGTAAAGTTAATTGAATTGGAAAGAAGATCGTTGATTAAGAGAAGAAACATTTTTTTTCGAGAAGTTATTAAATAGAGTCCAGGTGGTCCCTGTTTGTCCACGAGTTTAGGGGGTGGTTTTTCTTAGAAATTACGTAATATTACACACAAGATCGATCAGGGTGCATCCTGTGTTTTTCCGTGCGTAAGTTTTTGTTAATATCACATCAGAAAAAAAATGAATCACCTTTATAATCAGATAGTGTTATTCGGAGATTCGATTACTCAGGTAGATGCAGTTTCTATCTTGAATTCACGACTACGATTGATTCAGGGTTATGTCATGATAATTGCTTGTTTGCATCAAACTAACGTCATAGACGAGCTTCAGCTCTCAAAATAAAGGATAGGGTGCAGAGCTTTCACAAGCTTACGTGAGAAAGTTGGACGTCTACAATAGAGGGTTTTCAGGTGCAGTGACGGAGTCACATTTTTTGTTCCCAAATTACTCCCAACGTTGATCATTTTTCTTTGTCAAATTCCAAATTCTTAAGGTTACAATACCGAATGGGCAAAAGAATTGTTGACTCAACTACTTCCCAATCATGATTCCAAGGAACAATCGCAAAACTCAAATAGAGTCAAGATAGTTTTGATTAAAATCTTCTTTGGTGCCAATGATGCCGCCCTGAAACCTAATAAGCAACACATTGACCTTGACAAATATAAAGAAAATCTGACTCAAATGGTTAACATGGTAAAGAAATCAGATTCAGAGTCACCACCTCGAGTGATACTCATTACTCCTCCACCTCTTGATGAAGAAGCGTGGTGGAATACCCGAGGAATGGAAATAGATAGGAAATCCGAGGTTACTCATCAATATGCATTAGCCTGTCTGCAGGTAGCGCAAGAGTTGAACGTGCCGGTGGTCAATTT